CCGAATGATACATTCTGCAGTTTCCGCTCCATCTGTCAATGTTCAACTCAATGCCTTCATTAACGTGGAAGTCCACTCCGATGTTAAGTTGATTTTAATCAAAACAGACAAATTAGAGGAAAAGGTCATTGAAAGTTTGAGCAACATTCTGCTTAAAAATAAGAAAGTTATGAATTTTCAAAGCTGAGATCAATAAAACACAAATGGGCAACACTGTGACGTATCTTGCCAGGTCCTCTCAAATTTGCACTGTACATAAAATTTCAAAAACTTTAATTTTCTTTGTTGACGACTGAATGTTTTTGTTTTTTTCCATATTGGGGATGTGTTACGGGTTTGTAATTCATCTAGGGCTGGGGCGGAAAATGAAAGTCCAAGTTTTGGGAACAGAATCAACAGATACAAGCAACAACCATCTACGTATATTCCTCTTTTATGTTTACAGTATATTTCTCTTGATTCTTGAGCTCTTTACGACAACTAAGGTTCTATAGAAATATTTTTGAAATTTTGTATTTTATGAACGATTTTCTTTATGGAAAATAGAAATTCCTGACTTTGTATAGGCTATAGAAACATTTTTGAAATAATTGTATTTAGGATGAATTTTTTATGGCAAATAGAAATTTCTCTTTTTCTTTTAAATCACAGCTTCAAACTTTTGTAACTTTCTCATTTTTAATCGGATTTCACTCAAATTTTCACTGACCTGTATCTCTAATTTTCTGCTTCTATTAAAACAAACTTAATATTAAGATGGACGTACCCTTTAACCTACAGTTTACAACAAATATCTGTTTAGGTATGAGTATGTTTACAGCAACAAAAGTACAAAGAATTAAAATTTATAGGCCTACATTCAAACTTTATTACAGCTACAGCATCAAAAAAATTGGTTCAGGGCCTATTTCGGAGTTGGGTCAACTCCAGTTTGAGGAGGGAAAATGCCCTGCAGGGCAAAGGAAAGGGAGGGAAACAGTCTAGTAAGGTCTGTAATAACAGACCAACTGAGGAACCAACAGTGAAAAAGTGCTTCCTATTCAGCATACAATACAGCGGTCAGACAATCCCCTGCCAAATTCCGAGAAACTTCCCAATGACGACTGCCTTGCCAGAATGTGGAAAACCACCATGATTTAGCAAGCTTTACCCATAGAGGCTCAGGGAAGGGGAACAAAGGCACAACTCCCTCTCCAGTAAAGACTCTATTAAAAACTTTTTTTTTTACCATTGGCTTCCTTATAGCTACACTTCAGCAACAAAGAGGTTAGTTAAAGAGATACAGGGAAAGAAAGGTCAATAATCCATATTGAATACATTTTTGGAAAGTCCTTACATCCTATCTGGTTCAACAGTTAGACAATAGGGGGAAACGTCCACCAGCTGGAAAATGAGAGCATGTGTTGGCATTGAAGTTAAAAGAATTTCACTATTCAAAGTTCAAGGACCTTAAATGCAAGTGGCTGTACTTCCTCCATTTACTTCCTATCTAGTCAACTATTCTGAACCTTATGCCCCCACTTGGATGAAAATTGAAGTAAAACCCTATGTAATAAAGAAAAAAAACAATGTCCTTCCTATCTAGTCAACTATTCTGAACCTAATCCCCTCAAAGCAAATTGAAGTAAAACCTAATGTAAATGAAGAAAATAACAATTTTCATTCGTCAAGTCAGTGAAATGATTAAAATAGCAGAATTAGCGTTATTACTACCCACTCATTAGATAAAGTCTACAGGTATCCAAATTTCATATTTATATTTTTATAAAAATACACTTTCAATTATTTTACTATTTCTTTCCTAAACCCTACCCTCTGTTGTCTAAGATATTAATATTACACTTAAATGGACACCTTTTCTCATATTTCCTAGACTGGATTTTCATAACGCACAAAAAGATACCACGTACAACTTGTACTAAGGCTGTGCACAACAGTGTAATGAGGTACCCGAGTACACTCCCAGGCTTACAAGCGAATACTCAAATATTCGGACGCCATGTTTTTTTATAATTTTTTATAATTTTTTTGTATTTTTTTTAATTTTTTTAATTTTTTTTAAATTTTTGATTTTTTGATTTTTTTTCTTTTTTTTCTTTTTTTGCCACTTCCATACCACTCGGCAGTTTCCCAGGTCCCTCGCCGAAAACGCATGCAATTTTACTTTGAGTTGCAGTTGAAGGCGCCGATTTAATAAGAATAATAACAGTAAACAATGCTGTTTTAAAAACCAAAGATGGCAGAATAATCCATTTTCCTCCAAGTCCAAACAGAAATCTGGACATTTGGTCCCAGTTTCTGAAAGGTGAGTTTGACAGTGCTTGAGTTGGGAAACATTTTTACCGACAGTACCATGCCAGCGGTCGCCGCTCTCCCTGGCACGGGTAAGCGTGGGCCTGGACATATTTTTTTTTTTTTTTTTTTTTTTTTTTGCGGCCGAATATTCGGGTACGAGAAATCGTACCCGAGTAGTTGTCAACCGTGCAGGTACTCGAGCATTCGACTACTCGTCGCAGCCTTAACTTGTACCAATCCATGCACATAAACATAATGCTAAAATTGTCTTATTTGTTTGGCTAGATTATCTTCTTGGGTTGTCTTTATTGTATCACAAAACAGAAAGATGTCTACTTGAAACACATCTACATTTACTAAACAAACAGTTCTACACAATTTCAAATCATGTCCGCTATTAAATGTACTGTAAACATATTTTCTTTCCCGTAAAGTATAACATTTAGTACCTGGTGTTTCCCACATTTTATACTTTAACTAATTGCATCAATGTCAATTTCTTTCAAAAGGAAAACACAACAAATTACATTTCAGGCTTTCACACTATTTTATGGTAGCATCCAAAGGTACCAAAACAGCCTATCATTGAGCTGAACAAATAAAATATAAAATCACCACAAATCTAAACTGTAATTGATAAATTATGGCCAAATAAAAAAATTTAAATGTGTATCTTCTAAAATCAGTTTCTGTCATATTGTTCACGTTATATGAAATCACCTCATCATTAACCGACAATATTTCTGATCCCAACTTTAAAATCAAAAGTACTCTTTTGGGTACCCAGTTGCATCAGCCATGTACGTGACCTGAAAATACAGTTTTGCAGAATGATTCAACCTATCATAATTATGTGACAGGAAATGATTCCACATGGTGAAGCAACCAACCTTGGCCGAGTTTAACAATGAATGACAACTCTTAGGACACTGGGATGGGCTAAATACAATATCCACACCACTGCTATACATGCTGAGCCAATTCAGAGATTGAAAAGATACCCCTTTGTTCATAGATGTAGAAGCACTTTTTATTTGACTACTGTATATGAGAGATTTCCTTGAAGTGATATCATGTAGTGTTGTAATTGTTTTGGTTTTTTAATATCAGAGCTCTTCTAGACAGCCAAATTGCTCTCTCTTCCTGGATGCTATTAATTTTATATTATCTTTAATTTTTCAATGATTTTTTTTTTCTTTAAAGGTAAAGACCAGTTATGGTCATGCGATTGCATTGTGAAAGAAACGTTGTGGAATCGATCAGAAAAGGTTGATCATCTAGCATCTAGCATCTGCAAGGTTCTGGAATCATCAAAATGATAAGAAATTTGGCCCATTCTTCGTAAAGTTACAAGCACTATACACAGAAAGATGTATATGGGACTACCCTATATCTCTCACAGACCATGAGAGAAACAAATTTACCAAATATATGAATTAGTGGGCTGTTTCCCGGCAAATTTTTTATCATCATGTATTAGTCAAAACATATTCTTTTACATGATTGGTAATGAGAGCTTCCATTTCATTTTTTGAAATTGGGGCGTTTCCAATACTGGTCTTTACCTTTAAAAACAGCCAGGTCTCCACACTTACTTTTTCGAAAGGGAGGGAGGGGGGGGGGGGGTCTGGATTGAACATTTTAGTTTTACAGTCTGTACAATGTATGCATGAACCCTATGTAAAAATGTAAAAATTTGGGGGACCAAGACTTATATTTTTGGTGCCCATGTGCCCCGGGCACCTGTTAGTGTTAAGCCCAGTGATAGCCATCATGTCAGTCATTGTCAGATTAGTTAAATTTCATTCACATTCTATTTAGTTTCCCTACCTTTTTCATTTTAAGAATACGCAAATATCATTCTAGGGAAACAAATTTATTTCTTTGCATAATTATCATGGCTATGTACTATAATAGCTATACTGTTTTACATCCCGTAAGAGAGCTACGATCTGCACAGATTTCGATTTGGGAATTTAAAAAACAGTTGGAAATTTGCGGTTAAGACCTTCTTGGTCCATCTTCTTGTACTCATTCTCGTGATCATTCTCATTATATTCAAGTCAGGGAGGCAGGGAGGCAGAGGGGCAAGAGGTAGCACCTTGACTGCACAAAGTACGATATACAATGTCCCAACATTTAAGATTTTTTACAGACTGTAGCAATAGCATTTTATTGATATGTCTTCGGCCGTTGAAAGTATACAAGTGATTCTCAGTCGAAAGTACCAAATTTCGATATCACAAAAATATATATGGGCCTGCAAGATCCTTAAAAAGTTGAAACATAGCTGAACAAAAAACATTTACATATATTCAACAAAAATTATCAACCATCCGCAAAAATTATGTATTTAATATCTTAATTCATAAGCTATCAAATGACGTGTAGTGGCCAATGCAAGGGCTTTATATTTCAAGTTGAATGTCGTTTGTGATTCATTAAATGTTGAGGACAAGGTAATGAGAGATAGAAATGGAAAAAAGATGAAAAAATAAACAAAAACAAAAACCAAAGAAAAGTGCAGACTATACAATTTACAAATATGTCAACAAATAATATAATACTAGACCGTAGACACAGCTAGATACATAGTCCATACAGATCAACATGCATACAAACATGAAACATATTACATATATCTCTTCCTCATTTGTAAATGTAAACAAACATGTTCACTGTTTGCTTAGATTGCAAATACTCACCCAAATTGGTGAATTTAAAGACAGCTTCTAGAGTCAATCTTAATATCCACGATGGGAACACTTATTTTCATATGTGGCCTTGTTGGGAGATTCGAGAGAGGCGTATAGAGGCTATATATCCCGCACCACAACACACATAACACATCCCATTCCAAGTGTTTACGTTTGCAACGTGAATCGAAGAGTGTTTCACAACGCGAAATCCGTAGGCATATACCACTACAAGTCGTAGTAGCATACAATACAATCCAAAAAAATGAAGAGTTTGCGAATCACGCGACTCGTCAATGTCGAGTTCCAACACATTCACGGTCCAACAAAAGTACTCACATAGAAGCTGCAATCTCTGCTAGTATAGTTGTCCAGGACCAACAACTTGGTCCGCCCGAAATTCTAGAAAAATCACAATTTCAAAGTTTTTTCCTATGGGTTCAGTATTACGTTCTAGGTCAGTTCAGTTTTAAACATGCTCGAGCACAGAGCAAAACATCCGAATCACACACTATATAGCCACGAGTGGTGTTCGTGCGTCAAACTAATATAGCATGAAAATAACCATACATAACTCTACTTTTAACGGTTTTAAATCATTAAATATCAATATCAACTAATATTTGTCATTAATGTGTACCATTATCTGATAATACTGCAATAACTGTGTCGAATTTTAAGAGAAGCGGAACATCTTTCGTCTCAGAAGTGAGTGATTAGTCCGATCGAGGCGATAGAGTACAGCGCATTGAACTGGATGCATGTGGCTGCGTGTAATCTCTTTCGCAATTTGTATTGCTTACTGTTGAAGTATGTCATTGATTGACAGTCTCTGTGTGAACCGTGTGTTCATCATATTGCTCTATATTTTTATTAGGATTGTAATAAAATACGTAACTGATAGAAAAACGTAAGTTTTAACCTTGCAAAATTTGTCAGGAGCACCGCCCTCCGAAATAGGAATGGCTTCAGCCAACATCTAAACAAAATGTATGGCTTCCTTTGACTATTCGCGAAATATAGTTTTTAGTGCATGAGCCTTGATTTCAGAACGTCTTATTTAAAATTGTCGTTTTCATTTATTCTCACAGCCCATCAATTTCTTGTTTATGTATAAATTGTGGTGATCAAGGAAGATCCTCCGTTTGTTTTTTTTTATTTATGTATTTGTAATGTATCTATTTTTCCCAATTTGTATAACGTGTGGTATGTTATGGGCATACTACAGGGCGCCAGAGAGCACAAACTTTTCAGAATGTTATTTTGTTTTCGACCGAAATCATGGAGAACATAGCAACAAATAACGCTACATCATATTTTCTGATAAAGTACCACACAAGGCGCTAAGATATTTATTTGAAATATTACCTCATCATTTAGGATGATGTATATAATTGCAATCACTAAAAAATCTGTAATTACATAAATACCTTAATCATATTTTCTGTTATAACATTCGTAAGAAATTTTATGTTATTAAGTTGTATTTCATATATGAATTTACAGTCATGATGTTAAGGTAATATATTCAGATTCATATTGGCAGTTGGTATCATTTATATTTCATTGTAATCATTTAAAGGCTTACATATAAATCTACCTCACAAAGATTTCTCAAATTTAGTCAAAGTGTTGGGGTTCTTTACTACTGAATTGCTATTGTAACTTGTTGCATTTTATATGACAATATAATGTTTTACTTCAATATAATAGTTGTTGTTTAACATTATCTTTGTAATGCATAATTGAAGTCACGTTCTCCTTTTAAGTTATTATTGAAATAATATGTGAACTTACACTTTATAACATTATTTCGTGTTTTATTGTATTTTACTGTAAATATTACTAGGCCTATATCAGTTTCCATACTTTTTGCCATGTTCTTTTGTCTTTCTTTTCTTTCTTCTTTATTTTACAGTAAAACCAAGATTGATTTACTTATGTCTATACTCAAGTAAGGCTAAACTATAGTACAGTTGTATTAACAAAAATATTATATCAACATGAATAGTAATATTCCTAGTAACTCTGGGTGAATAGGACCTGCTTGATCCTGGTTTGAAATGTTCCAAAACATTTTTTTTTAAATTAAGTCAAAAGGCTGGCACAGCGCAACACAGAGAGAGTGCAATAAAAAAAAAAAAACATAGATGCCAAATACACCTGTTACATTCCCCTATACACGTGTTACCCCCTGTACGCGCAAAACCTGGCCATGTAATACTGTTGCGCGTTTATCGTTTGCGCATGCTCAGTTCAATTAAATGAAGTGCATTCGTGAGTGCAGAAAGACATGATTCTAAACGAGAAGTTCTACCAGTTGGTATCACCCATCCTCCTTAATCTTCTCCACTATCAGTGTGTTCAATTAATCTATACAAACTTAAAGCAATGATTTTTAATGGGCAGTCTATAACATGAAAAAATAATTAAAATCGGTGGGTGCCCATTACTATTTTATATAGGACAAAGTACGTTGCGTTTTCCCAGTTCGCTCCAGAGTTGTCTATTTTTTACAGTCCTATATCTTGTTTTAATTCTTTCCCTCGCCAGGTCTCGTGTACGAAGGACAACAAAATATTTTTTTGATATATCGAACCCCTTTTAGGCCGGGGTGTAGCGGACGTCACAAACTCAAGCAATTTTTATATTTCAACAGGGAACATTATCATGCAACCTCCCCCCCCCCCCCCCCCCCCCCCCTATCCCCCCATCTGCCCCTCAAGAAAGATGCCGGAACAAACAAATAGTGTATTACTATGCGTATACATCTTTGGGACCACTCCTGATCAAAAGACGAAATCTTTATAAACGATTGGCAGAATGTTAACCGCCTTCTTCTTCCCATTCTTCCCTTTCTTTCTTCTGTATCTTTACGAAGTAGATAGATATATTTTTAAACGTTACTTGACGCCCTGATGCATCGACCCGTATACAACACCTTGAAGGCATGAACCGCCTTGTATAATCATTGTCAGAGAGCTAGTTAGGGTACAAAAGGATTTGTATGATTTATGATCCAATAAAATATTTTATGGGTATTTTAATAAAAGTCCTATTCAAATTCTATCTCTTTCTGACCCGTACCTCTCTTACATGGAAGCTTGGAAGAGGGCCATAAATTTATACTTTATCTGGTTCCATGGAGACAGAGTGTATAAAACAAAATATCAAAGTTGTGTAGTTACTGGCCCTTTTTCACTAGTAAACATTTCATCCCATGATTAAAAAAAAAAAATTGTTTATAATCTTTCGATGCATGTATACTACTGTGTCAACGCAACTAGTCTAAGATATAAATATACAATTAGTAACTATACTATTCATTCAACTTGTAAATTTGATGTTTTCGTACCTCAAGAATCAAAAGTAGACTGGTTGAATTAATGCCTTTGTCTTTTAGATGTCACATTCCCAAGAAACTTAAATCTGGACAAATCAACTTGCACATACTTAAAAAATATATACAAAACCAAGGATACGAATATTACATGTAAATGGAAAAATCCAAGGTACTTTGTTCAACACTCTAAGAAAAAAGGGTGCAAAAAAGGGTGCAAAATAAGAGTTTGCACCCTTTACATAAAAATGAACCCTATTGAAGGAAAAGGGGTTCAAAAAAGGGTGCGATATAAGATTGTGCACCCTTCCCACAAAAATGAACCCTAACAACCCAAAAAGGTGCAAAATAAAAGTTTGCATATCGCATGCATATTCATGATTACTTTCCACGTGTTCACATAAAAATACATTTATCATATGATTTGTTAAGCAAATTATGACAACGCACATCAATTTTGTGATTTGTATTTTCCTTCGGCAATCATTAACCAATAGATTATTTTGTCTGATCATGTTACAATTACATTCACGTTTTAGCAATATATATATTGATTATATGATTACTAACCAAGAAACATCATGCATGTTTAATATGTATATGTGTACGAGCAAATGTCACGAGTATTCCTCGATGATGGGTGCAGGATTGCACCTTTTAAAGGGTGCAGGATTGAACCACTTAAGGTGCTGCTATTGCATCGGTTTGCAACCCTAAAGGAGCAGGATTGAACCATTAAGGGTACTAACATGTCTCCTAAAAGGTGCATTCTGGCACCCTCCTAAAGGGTGCAGGATTTAACCCCTAAAGGTGCTGCTATTGTTGCATTGGTTTGCACCCCTAAAGGTGCAGGATTGAACCATAAAGGGTACTAACATTTCCCCCAAAAGGTTCAATCTGGCACCCTTTTGAAGGGTGCAGGATTGCACCTTTAAAAAGGGTGCAGGATTTAACCCCTAAAGGTGCTGCTATTGTTGCATCGGTTTGAACCCCTAAAGGTGCATAGTTGCACCATTTTTCTTAGTGTGAATGCGATACACACCTCACCGAAAAAAATTATTTGTTAATTATTCATTTGTTCATTCATTTTATTATTTATTTATTCACTAATGTATTTATATAAAGATATATTTATTTAATTACTTACTCGCTTGCTTACTCACTAACTTACTTACTTGCTTACATACTTATAATTACTTTCTTACTTGCTAGCTTACTTACTTTCTTTCTTATTTATTTACTTATTTATTTATATATTTATTCGTTTATTCATTTATTTTGTGTTTTTGTTACAGGGTACACAGTAAAAACGCTGCTTAAAAAAGTGATGTTCACTTACAGTTGTACACTATCTTAAACAACAGTTGAACAAATTGTAAACAATGTTGCTCGAAACGAAAGTAATTTTGTTAAACATTCGCTGTTTAAAATTTAATGACTGCTTTATTTACTATACGAGAGCTTTTAGACAGTGTTGTTTACATATGACGTCATGTGTCACGTGCCAGTAAAGTGCGCGTTGGCTAAAAGATTTGTTTCAAATCATGGCCAACCAAGCTGTAGACGTGTCGTGGATGAGTGGAAACGTCGCCGGACTGTCGATCACAAGGTCCACGGTTCGAGTCCCGCCGCGGAACTAATGTCCTATGGCAGCCTAGCATAGCCGGGTAATGTTGGAGCGCCTTGAGGACCTTGCAAGGTCGATACGTGCGCTATATAAGAATCCAATATTATTATTATTATTTAACAACAGCTCCTTTTTAAACAACTTTCTTTAAACAACTCAGTTGGTGTAAACAACCCCCACTGAACAACAGCTCCTTTTTAAACAACTTTCTTTAAACAACCCAGTTGGTGTAAACAACCCCTACTGAACAACAGCTCCGTTTTAAACAACCGTCTTTAAACAACACCAGTTGTTTAAATTGTGATTTTAAACAAGTTGTTCAAAATGTTGATCAACTAAGTGTTTAAACTTTAAACAACTCGAGTTGCTTAACATTTTAAACAACTCTTAGATCAGGTCACCCGTTAATCAACAGTTGTTTAAACTTTTAAACAACATGTTCACTAAATTTTTAACTGTGTAGTATCTTCAAAACGTTAACAACTACGTTGCAAGTGAACCCTGTATATATATAGCCCTGTTATGGTTGTAATAGTATG